CTTTATCTAGGACTTGTATTATGTCTAGTCTGACGAATATTCAATTTACTGTTGACTAGTCTATTTACAATTCTATTGATTGTCTGTTAATTATTGCATGGAGTAGCCTATTGTCTAGACTAGTTTATTGACAAGTACATATATGGTCTATGTAGTTTATATACAATTCAAAATTTAATCATATAGAAAAAAGCATTGTAGTATATTTCGATGTCAAGATGTATTGAGAACTTTTCAACAGTATAGAATTTCCCATATCTGGACTGTATTATCATATTAAAGCATACGATCAGGGGTCGAATTAAACATTTTCCATTAATTTATTATTTAAACAAACACTATTAAAAATTATTCGTAATACACCTACACTTAATAAAATTCTTTTCCCACATAAATTATTTGTACTAATTTACGAATTTTCTCAATTTATTTTGTTAATAAAAAAACAGTAGATAAACAAAATGAAATTTCCATAAAATTTAATTGTTTATTTTTACATTTATAAACTCTCTATTATTTATTGTTTATAGTTTGTCTTAAAGGTTTTATTTTAATTTGTTATTTGTTTGATCGATAAAATAACAAACAATTCCACCATAGAATGCGTGTCAGTTTGTAATTTATTATAAGAAAATAAAGAAGAAGAAGAAAAAAAAAAAAAAAGAAATTCTCTTAAAAGAATTACAAACATGCAGTTTTATTTCCATTTAAGATAACAAATGATTTTTATTTCTATTTTTTCTATTACTTTAATTCGTATTTTTTGTTTAAATGAATGACATTTAAAAGTTTTTTTTTTAAAACAATTTGTATGCTTTAAATAGTTTTTCTATTTCTTTAATTTTTTTTCTTTCTAATAATGTGGGAAATATTCTGTTAAGTATAAAAATCATCTTTGCCATCTTGACAATTTAGAAGTATAAGAATCGTGTGGTTTTTTGACGTTTTAAAAAAAGAAGTTGTAGAATAAAGCCTGTCTTTGTGTTATTGTATTGAACTTCATTGAACTTTTTGTTTTTATGTGCTTTAGAAGTTTGATAACAAAAAAATCAAACACTCCATGACTGGTGGTGCTGTTTTATGATTTAATGCTTTCAAATTTGTCTTTCATATAATTTTTATGGTTTTTAATTCTTTTAAAGAAAATTGTATTTTTTTGTTTCATTGTCTGTTTTAAAATTTTTTGATAAGCTGTAGTAATTGTGAGATCATTTATTGTTAAATGTTCTATTATATATAGAAGAACAAATAACTTTCTAATTTGTTAAATTTTTAATGGAAAAAACATCTGGTCTAATAATGTGAAATTAGTTTTTGGTTAAAAATTATTTTTTTATATTGTTGTGCCAATTTACAGTAATGGTAATTGATTAAATTTTAATTGGTAAAGTACAATTGCTTGTAATTAAATTTTTACAAATTACAATTACTTGTTATTTTGAATTTTGATTCTTATAATTACATGGAATTTGTACCTAAATTACAATTAAAAGGAATTGTAATTTGTAAACTTCAATTACACATTTATTTAATTACAATTACAGGTATGTAATTCAATTACACATTACAAATAATTTTAATTGGAAAAACTTCAATTATAATTATATACAAGTAATTGTAATTGGTTATTGCTCAATTACACATTACAATCAATTGTAATTGATCATGTAATGAATTACTTTGTGTAATCATTACCCCCCATGCTTGTTAAAAATTCTGTTATTTTGAACCTTTCCAAAAAAAAACTAACTGTTCCAGTTAAATAAAATCTTGTAAAAACAATTTTATTTAATTGTTTTTAATTAAATCCACTACGTTTTCAATTTAATTTCTTGATAATATTTCATTAGTTCTTATTCAATATTACAATTCTCATAATTCTGATAAATTACTGTCAATCAATATAAGGTTTGTTTCTTTTTCTATTATTGCCATTTCCTTAGCTGCCTCCACACCCAGTAAGTGGTAAAAATTAAAAAAAAAAAAAAAAAAAAAATAATTGTTCATTTAAAAAGTCTTTAAAAAATATATATGATGTGATATCATACCAATTTAATTACAGCTCTAACAAAAAATACTAAAAAGTTAATAGTTGGTGACTTCTCATATAGTAAAAAACGTTGTCAACATTTAACGCCTACAGTTCATAATTTGATCCATTATATTGTACGTGTTTTAAGACAAGACAACAAGTAGCAAGTCTTATAAATCATTTAACTCTCAGAGAGTTGAAGATGGCGATCTAAACTTCTTAGCTTAATTAAAATGTTTAGTTGTGTATATATTAATCTCCACTTTTGTCTTTTCACCTACCTCTTCGTGTTATTGCAATTCCGGGGAAAAGAGGTGCTACCTTTATCTCTGGTCTGACGAGAATATATACTGGTGATGATCAAATACATCTTCGGCCTTTCCTAGAAAGATTTGATATGGTGTCGAGCCGGTACATTATCTGGTACCACGGGAAACGGTAGCCCGCAAATCAGAGTTCTTTGTCTTGACCCAGTTATAGGAGAGGTCCCTTCGGGGTGCATGTAGTGGTTGTGGTTTAAATCCATTCGCGGGAAGAGACTGATGCATGGTAAAGTCTATCATTCGAGATATGTTCGGTACTGTTGCCGCGACAACAGATGCCCCACAGAGGGGTGAATGTGGTACTAAACGCACCTTACCCACCTGTATACCTATAGTGAGTGTGTCGGATGTTATTCTTTATGAGTGTGTCAAATGAATGAGAAGTGTGCTGGAAAGGTAACTTATACAAGTGATACCATAGAATTTTCCTTCCTTGTTCAGTTAGTTTCGGGGTTTACTCTATTCATACCAGATTTACGACAGTTTGTAAGAATAAGTTCTCGGCTTATTTCATGGATTCATGATTCAGTTTACCGAATACTCCTCTAGGTGCTGTTGCCAACCCAATAGAGGCCATCCCATCAGCGTGGTTGTAAACGGAGTAGATGTTTTTGAATCTCGGTCAGAGGTTAGAGTTTTGGGCTTTGGTTTGTCTCCGATATTGGAGAAGTCTCTTGGGGGGGCATATGGTGGTTATAGCTTAAACCCTAAATCGCAGAAAGGAAATGTTGGTTAAAATACTGATACACGGTGAAATCTATATTTCGGGATCTAAATACTAAACCAGGGGAATTTTTCTTTCAATATTATAATACTTATCCATTTGAGTAATTAAGTTCATAGCATGATTTACCGGCTCTGCAAATATTTATTCCCAAGAAAAAATTATTACAATATCTTAATTTATCAAATAACCTTAAGTAGTATTTAACGCCTTTACTACTTAACTACATTTTTCTGCCTTTAGGGCAGCTAAATTTTTACATGTCTGATGGTCATGTGAAAACTAAAGTAATTAATTTTAGTTTGACGTCTAATTAGAATAAATAACAATTTCATTTAAGTAAATTTATTTAAATAAAGGCAAAAAAACTTCCCACTATTATCTTTTAAAACTAGGAACAATTATTATGCTTTAAATTAAATACTATTTTTTATTTTCAATTTCAAGTTACTAAACCAAACCAAAGCTAAATCAGTTTCATGTTAAATTAATGACCTGCTTATTAACCAAAAGAAAAAAAAAATAAATGTCAAAATAAAAATAAAAAAATAAAAAAAATTACAAAACATTTCATCATCTCAACCATTCATCTAATTAAAATTTTGTTTGGTTGAATGACAAGTTTCGCGTTAGTTCAATGGAAATTCGGTTGGTTGGTTGATTTATTCGTATGTAATTAAATATGGAATTCATATTAATAATAAAAAAATGAAAACATTAACCACAAAATAAAATGAAAAAAAAAATTAAAAAATAATAATAAAAACTTTTTGTTATTAGAGTATGCGAATAAAACTCAAAACCCACAATTAATGGTTGACATTGAAATTGTTGTTAGACATAAAAAACGTTCTCTTTATAACTTTATAAGAAACTGTTATACATTTTGGGGGTAGAGGAAATTATACCAATGTGAAATAAAATTTGTTAAATTACATTTTGTGCTTGTGGTATATTATTATTTAGATCTAGCCAAACATTTCTTATCATATCAATTTTTCATCCCCTAAAATATTTCAATTGCATTCTGATAATGATAATAGTGATAGTGATAATTGTAACATTTTTTTGTTATCTGACAACCATTTCTACAAAGTACCAAAAATTGCAACTCTTCAAGATTTTTTGTCCCGGAAATTCAAAGGACAAAAGTCGAAATCCCAAGAAGAAAGAGCATGTCACAAAGGTAAACCTTCTATTTAAAAGTCTACAAGTTGAACATTTATTTTATAAATAAACATGTCTTCGCACTGTTGTCTCAAAGATGGTCAAAACGGTATTATTTCGAAAACTTGATCTGATGGAGAGGCCAGATTCAGACTCAACCCTGCTTAATCCTTTGGAAGAGTATAATTTGGTCTCTGGGTTAAAACTTGGTTGTCCTGTGTTATCCATTTAAGTAAAATTGTGGATAATAAAAAGATATAATAAGATGAATTACTTAAAACTACTTTATTAAGCAACTTTGTGTTAAAAATGTTCTAAATTTTGTAATAAAACTGTGGCAACACTAAACGTAGTAGCCTCCAGGAAGGAATTTTGTTAAAGCTAGACGTACCAGCATAAATTTTTAAACATTTTTTACAAAATGATTTAGCACAACATTTTTACAAAAAATCCAAATTTGTTAAAAATAAAATATGAAACTGAATAATTTGTTCACTAATTTAAATTATGAAAATAAAAACATAAAGGATATTAATAATTTCAAGGTAAACTAGTTTCTATTGACAACAAATAATTTCATAACAATCAGGACAGCTGGTACTTTGACAGATGTCAATAAAAACAGATGTGTCTTTGATAACAAATAATAACTTTGTGGTAAATTGAGAATAATACTTTAAATTTCAAAAATATATTCGAATTTTCTAATCCTTCTCTTAACTAATTAAATATTCTCTTTCTTACTCTCTTACAGAATGAAGCCCATGATCTGGTACGACGTAATAGCAATAGTGCGACAACTCAACAACAGACCGGCAAAAGTAACAGCAGTGTTAGTAGCAGTGGTGATGGCCTATTATTAAGGCGTGCCATGGATTGTTTGCCTCTGACACATGGTGTGGGTACACATCATCCACATCTAATGGCTTCTAGTAATACAGTCAATGTAACTGTAGCACCATCCTCAGCCGTAGTGGCGGCCTATCCACATCATCATCACCTGAACCTCAATCATCATCATTTGTTAAGTCATCATTTGCCGTATAGCAATAACTACAGTGGTCTGCATCATACATCGACGACGTCGTCCAACAGTCACCATCACAATCATCCACATTTGAATATACACAGTGAACAGACGAAATCGTTGCAGGAGTTGCAGCATGAAGTTGGGGCACTGTTGGAATTTCGTGATTTAGTTATAGAAACATTTCCCGATCTCAAGCAAAAAATGGCTTCCATATCGTCGGCAGCGTCGACCTCTTCCTCGACGGGTGGCGGTGTTGGCAGTGGAAATGTTATGACAAATGGTCAATCGTCGTCGGTGAGTGTGAGTAGTAGTGGCTCGACGATACCTTTGACCAGTGGTGGTACGTTGGTATCGCGTCGTGAATGGGAACCTGGCATAAGGGTGAAACGTAAGATTTCTCAGAAAGAACAACCCGCCGCCATAGAATTAACATCGTCGTCTTCGTTGACGAGAAGTCGCAGTAATTCCCATAGCGGCAAAAAAGAGCCAAAGAGTAGTAGTGGTGGTGGAGGTGTTGTTAGCGGTAGTGGCGGAGCCACAAGTGGTGGTGAAAATAATAATGGTAGTGTAGTACAAGATTCTGGATTCTCCACGGAAACTAGTTCATCCAAAGAGGGTCATAGTGCATCTTCAACAAATGGTGCTTTAACGGTAAGTCACTAAAACTTTAAAACAAAATTATAGTATTGCTAATTTAAATCTTTTAATAACCAAAGGGCGCCATTGCATCAAATCGTTTATCCTGTCCAGAGTCCGATGATGAGTTATTAAATCTCCTAGATGTTATACACCGCAAGTCGAATCGTTTACGAGAAGAGGTTGAACATTTACAGAATTATGAGCGTCAACATTTGCAACCAAGTTCGAGTGCAGAACGTGATCATCCTGACGTAGCCACCTCTTCCGCTGAAGGTGCCACCGGTCTTTCCAAGTCCAGCAGCAGTAGTGCCAATACAGCTTTAACACCAAAAACCTTCCGTGAGCATGTTGAGCGTCTGAATAAAGAAGACTTGCAGCAGCTGCGCAAAGAGCGCGATCGCCTGCTGGATAAATTGGCGGAAATGGAGGCTGAAACATTGACAGGCCGCATAAAAGCTGCCAAAATGAGTGAACAAGTTGAAGAGTTGATAAATGTGAAACGAGATCTAGAGGAACAGCTAAAGCTGGCGATGGCACAGAGATTAGAGTTAAACTCTAGAGTGCAACAGTTGCAGCAACAACAGCTGACACAGAGTAAAAGTTCTAACAGGTAATTTTGGTGAAATAATAAAACTTACAGTGAATATTTATAAAGTTTACTTCCTCTCTTGCAGTCAATCGGATTTTTCCAGTAGTCCTCGTACATTTCTTTCCTCTTCGGCTAATACAGTTTTATCTACGGTTAGTGCAAACTCATCTAGACAAAATACATTCCAACCTGTCGTGGTGGAACAGCAGACCACGGATCAGCAACAACATAATCATTTAATACCATTCCATCAAAGCATTGGCAGTGATAATAAACGTAATTCTCAACTACAGCAATTCTCACCCGATCAATTGGGTCGTTTGGATGGCATTGTTAGTACGCCAGGAGATCGCAATGCCAAATGTAGGGTAACAGATTCAAAACGCTTTGCCGCTATACTCCTAGAGACTAGTGTCATAGAATTGCGAAGACATTTATTAACATTAACTGTTAAGAATCAGGTAATTTATAATATTTTAGGAATATTCGACAATATTTTAATTTTCTTAATTGGTTTTACAGGTTTTAATGCAAAAACTTGACCAAGCTTCTAAAACAAAGGGTCATTTAGTCAAACGTTTAGACAAATCCAAAGAAGATGTTGAAGATTTAAGATTTCAGGTGGGTTTAATAAAACACAATTCTGTTATGATGTAATCATATTTTATATTGTTTTTTATTTTATAGCTTGAAGAAAAGAACATAGAATTAGAAGGTACTAAAGCTCAACTACGTGTTTTAGAATCTAGACTGCACTCAATAACACCCAGCAGCGGTGCTGCCACCAATTCCTATTTACACTCGCAAAATGACTACGAAACTAATCGTTCTTCAGCCTCTACCACTCTAATGCTAAGCAGACGGGGTGGTGGCGTTGGCAGTGGCCTAAATACCGATTCTAGTGATATTCGCTCCTCCACGCCCATATCAGCCTCCACACACAATGGCCAAATGCCTCAGCCCATAACAATGCAAATATCGACGCCCAGCATGAAGGCTATGACTCACTTACCCATGGATGATATGCAACATCATAGTAGTAGTACAGAATCGGCTCATGAACATGATGTCGTACATCATGAGACCATGACCATCAGCCAAATGCAGACTAAACTGGAAAATGGTCGTAATATAAGACAAGCTATAATGAGTACTAGTGTCGATGGTGTTAGTCCATTCGAACAGCAATTGCAGCAACAACAGGTGGCTGCTATTAGAAATCAGGTGCAAGCCTTAAAGAAATTTAGTGGTGTAACGGCTACGAAACCAAGTAAAATACCATTGCCTGGTAGTAAAGCGGCGGCATATTTTGCAGGTAATTTAAACATATTTTTTTAATTTCTGTTTTTGTTCTCTTGGATCCAGTTAAAAATCTAACCAAAATCAAAAATTATTGCATTGACTAATACAGAATTAAGTTCTTCGTTTATATTTGCATAAAATTGGACAATAGAACAATTCATCATAGATCCTACATAAAGTTTCAAAATATGCTGATCTTTATTTGAGATATCTTAAACTAAAGTTTGAGAATTCAGGTATTTCGCTATATCTCTAGTATTTTTGCTATTAATGCAGAACATTTTAGAAGAAATCGCGCTCTTATATCATCAGAGTTTAGTTCAGATCGAAACTATAGGAAAGTATATACTGGTTTCGTTTTAAATGTTTGTTGACCTCTGCAATTCAGAATCTAGTAAACCCTTTACAAAACTTTCCCGAATTTTTTAAACTTTAATTGAATTTGTCCTTGAGAATGTTAAATAGAGATACAATTCGATTAATTACTAATGTTTGGGATCTTTCTTTATCAGTCTTTAATTTACTCTCCTCTTCTCTAATTTTACAGGAAAACCACCATCCGGCAGACCCTCAACAGCAGGTCGATCGCCTCCCTCAGCAAATTCTTCAGGTTCCTCCAGTCGTTCACCATTGAGTAGAAGTACTGGCAATCTATTGTATTCCAAATCACCGAATAGCCTGAAAAGAGCTGATTCAGCACAAAGTATACGCAAAGATAATAATTCATCTTCGCTTAGCACCAACACCAGTCGCAGTTCCACCTCGTCATCCATACCAATGGCAACAACATCATATGGCTCTGCCTCTAAATCATATGTTGGTGGTGGTGGAAATGGTTCTATCAACACAACAAGCAATAACACTTTAAATAGTCCGTCCTCGAGAATTTTACAAAATTCTCCATTACCAAAACCAAAACGTGAGTCGTTGTCAACGAAAGTCAGACATATGGATTCCTTATCGCGTGCTTATCACCATCAACACAACAATACGACGCATAATTATTCCAACATCAGTAATACTAGTGATAATACACCCACGACAATTGTGCAATCGAACACATCACCCACAACTGCCACTACACCAGGTGGCGGCAATGGTGCCGGTAGTTATTTGATTAGTAGTACGCCAAAAACATCAACTATAGCAGCTCAACTTACCTCTTCATTACGTAAAGATTTACAATTAAGTTCCAGTAGTTTTAATCATCCAGCGCCATTTCAACGAAGAGCTACCGCCTCCTCAGCGGTTCAATCAAATTCCAATAACAGCAACACACAGACTACTAGACGTTTCAGCAGTGCTTCCGTGATGGGAGCTCGCTCGGCTAGACAGGCTTCCCAGGATTATGAGGGTCAACATAACAGCAATGTGAGTGGCAATAGTGTTGCAGCCGGTGTGATCAGTTCTTCTTCATCGACGCACAGTGGTGGCGTTAACAATGGTGGCACTGCCAGTGATAGCGATAGTGGCAAGGTACGCACTTTAAAATCAACATTTTTGGGTTGGCTTAATAAAATCTAAAATAAAACTTATAAAAAGGCAACATTTAATTAAAAAAAGCAAAAAACATTAAACAAAACAAACAGAAACTGATTGAATCTTAAATAATATTTATTATTGTTCTTATTATTTGTTTTTGTTTAAAAACTCATTAAAACAACAACAACATTTGCTGTAGTAGTTTGTTAACCACATGTGTAATTTGTCCTTTTTACTATTTTTGTTTGTTTTTTTTTTTTCTTTTCTAATTAATTTTTTTAAATTTGTACATTTGCTGCGTACATTTACTACACACTCATACATTTATAACATATACATACATACGTACATACATACTATATAACACAATAATTGCATATACATAATATGATTTTTACTATATAAACATAAACATACTTATTATACAATATACATACATAAATACTTTATGGAATTAATAATATAAATATTAATCAAACGCCCTCATTCTTAATCATAAAATTAAAAACAAAAAATTAACTGGAAACAACAAAACAAACATTTCAAATTCTTTTTTTTTTTTGGTTTAAAATAATATTGATTATTGTTTATGCCGTTTCGTTTATTAAACCAGCAAAATTTTAACTGCTTTATAACTTGGCTACAAAAAAGTATTTTTTATTTATTAATAATAATTAAGTGTTACAGTTATCATATTTTTTTGTTAATAAAATCCACAACAAAGCAATCAAACAAATCAAAAACTAAATATAAACAAATCCACAAAAAAGAATTATTAACTTGTTTCTAAATTTTGTTTTCTCATTAACTCCCTGCCCTCAAACTCATTTCATCTCATTTAACCCTGCTAAACTCTAATCATACTCTCATTTAAAGTCATTATTACAATTTACATAAATACATTTATTTATAAATATAATTTTTACTTTTAATTTTTATGTATAAATTAAAATAGTGTTTATTATTATAATAATTATTACAACAAATATAAATTATTTAACTAAATAAGTCTAAAAAACAAAACAAAAGTAATTGCTATACATTTATTTACTCTTCATTATCAAACACATAATTTCTAATGCTAATATCTCCCCTCCTTTCCTTTACTCCTCCGCCTCGTTTCATTATATTTTCCTTTCATTAACTTTGTTCTTGTTTTAAAGTTTTTTTTTGTTTAATAGTAAGTTGAAAAAAAGAAAGAGAAAAAACTTAGTAATAATAAAAAAATGTATAAAACAATCATAAACCATCATGTTTATTTATTTATTTCTATTTTACGTTTGTTCGTTCGTTTGTTATTAATTAATCATTTTGTGTTTGTATAATTAAATTACTTTATACATATGTATTTGTTGGTTGGTGACATTGTATTTTATTTTACATATTTTTCTCATTTATTTATTTGGCCTCGTAAAACAATTGTAAATACAACTTGTATCTATTTTTTATGGTTTAGCGGGTGCTCTTTTTTAACTAAACAACAATATAAATTTTTAATTGCTTGTATTTTCCCATAGATACAGTTTTGAATCGCAAGAAACTTTTTAATTTGATTAAAGTTGTACAAACAAAAAATTTACTATTTAAAACAATTTAAACAATTAGATTATTGCTCTTGTGTGGGCTTCTGTTGGATAAACGGGTGTTAAATTTAAAGAAATTTTGAAAATAAATTATGTTTCGGTTAAATGTTAGCCAAATTTCGGTTGTTATAGTTTAAAGTTTTGTTATTATAATACTTTTATTACATTAATATAGCATTTCAAATCCCATTGCATTCGCTTTATATGCTTTACAAAACATTCATATATTGCTTAATATACATGATTAATTTTTATCATATCCCAGGAAAAATTGTATTTATTCCACAACTAGTTCTAAAATGCGTTCTATTAGCCTGTACATATTCTAGTTTGGCGTTGATACTACTGATTTTTATTCGAATTTGTCATCTACGGATCTGAATCTGAGGAAGCGTTATGGAGTCGCCACTCGTTCTTTGAAATAGTTCTGGAACTAGTTCTTGAATCAATCGAATTTATCAACCACGCAACTTTATTTAAAAATAGTTCTTTTTCAGCATTTTTTGTTCGAAATTATTAAGATTAATATCAATTTTGATAAAATGTTGAAGAATTATTATTATTCCAAGAAATTTTTTCGAAGGTACTGTGCATTCCATTGAACTAGTTTAGTGCCAATGTATAACTAGTGTCAAATAATAACAATGTTCCGAGAAAGGACCTGAAGAAGTAATGGCGATATCACTAGTTCCAAAATTTTTGTTTTAGAATCTGAAGTGGTTCTCTTTGCACTCTTTCCAGAACTAGTTTTTTCCTGGGAAATTTATTTTAGATTTTCGAAAATTTATAAAATTTTCTTTTAAAGTTTAACAATGAGAGTTTTTCTCGGCACTCATATTAAAATTCTCACTACTTCCACAATGAGTTCAGCATTAATTTTTATATGAACTTGCCAAGCCGCAACAACGTCAATGAAATCTAAATTACTTTTAACAATTTTCTGAACACTTGAAAAACGTTGGCATATTTTAAGTTATTCCGAAATAAATTGCTTTTTAATCTCAATTTGAAACTTCTTACAATGTAAATTTAGACCATAGGATCCCACAGTTTATTTGCTTGCTTAAGTAACACTTTCGGTGGCACATTTCTGAATCTTGGACTCATATTACAACTTAAATATATTTAAATATGGGTCCGCGAAACTAAATAAAGGATATAACGTTTTTTATTTAAATTCAGAATAATTCCGCAGCAATAATTGTATAAGTTCCACAACTAATTCTAGATGGCAGTGACTTGTTCTACAATATACATATATAAACTATATAGTTTGGAGTTAAGATAAAAGACATTTGTTTCTAGTTGTTACCTTTGTTCCGTGAAAGGTTTATAAAGTCGACAATCGTTCCATGGAACGTTTCTAAAACCATTTGACTTTTGTTCTCTCCGAACTTCATCTTAAGAACGAAATTTATAGATTGATTTCACAAAAATCATATAATTTCTTAATTTTTTCAAAATTTGGTTTAAAATACGATACGAAACAGATTGTGAATCGGTCAATTGTTTTATTTAAAATATAGAAAGTAGTTTATAGTTTAATAAACAAAATTTAGCTCCTTTGTAAAAACTCTAAAAATGTTCGCTATTTTTGAGCAGACAAAGTTAGTATAACTTGAATCAAGGATGGACAATTTAGTACTATTGTACTTCTTCACGACTTTATAAATACTTTTTTATATTATAAACTTTTGCTAAGACTAGTAGGTTGATTAACGACTAATCTAGAATCGACTAGACTAGACAATATACAAGTTCCAATCTATTGACTAGTCGATAGATTTGATCACAAACTAGTTAATAGACTAGTCCGAAAGGCAATCAGTAGTCTAGTCAATGGATTAGTCCATAGACTAATCAATATATGTATTAGTTCATAGACTAGTCCAAAAATTAGTCTTCTGGGAAAGAGAAAGGTCAATAAATGACTAGCACATAGACTAGTCCGAAGAATAGTCAAGAGTCATATATTCATAGGCTATTCTAAAAAACTAATTCTCTTAATATTCATTAGACTAGCCAAAATTACATATGTAGACTGGTCAGTAAACTATAGACTAAGTCATAGACTACATAGTCATGGGTTAGTCTATTGACTAGTCAATAAACGTGTTCATTGATTAGTCAATATATTAATCCATTGACTATACTATAGACTATGTAGTCTGCAAACAAGTCCCCATCATGACATAGAACCTGCGGTGTTCATATTATGAACTTCATAAACATTATTCATAAACATTTATCAAAAGTTTATAGTACAAATTTTGTATGAAAATTTGATTTATAAACCTTTGAAAAAAGTTTATGAATAAGGCAGTTAGGTTATAGAGTAATCCTATTATAACATTAAATTTCTTTAGTATAAAAAATTAAAAGATTACCAGAAACAGCAACGAATAATTTGAAGTTTATCCTGACAATTAATTCTAATTATGATTATAAAAGTAATACAATTATTAAAACTAAATTTAAAAGGCGGAAATTAAGTTTATTCTTTTCAGAGCACAATTACCATAAAAAGTGAATAGATACATTTAATAAAAAGTGACCAAATAAATACGAGTAGATGTCACCAATCTTCTTCATGATTCCCCCACATAACTATCATCCTACCCTACTTCAACAGAAATCAATTCATATACATATTAATAACAATAACTTCACATTGAAAATCATAAATCAAACATAAAGATACAAAAAAAAATAAAATTGTTCAAATATACAAAACCATTAAAAAATCATATATTTTTATGAATTTCATTAAATTAAATTCTACATAAATATTAAAACAACAATAATGTTGTGAATTAATGAATTATAAATGTAATATAATCAAATTATTATAAAACATAAATTTGATTTGAAATGTTAAACACACTTACATGTCGTACACAACTAAAATATTTAAATGAAAATCCTGAGGCCATATTCTGGCATTCGATAGTGATCGAAATTTCTAACAATTTTTTATATGATTATGTTAAGGTTGCGAACGCTTTCGAATGCCAGAAATTGCCCCCTAGTATTAAAAAGCTATTTTAAATTAATTCCTAATTCAATACAGTAGCGTCTACGTATTTTGTGTTTATTATTGAAAAATTTTCTGTAATTGTCTGTGTAAAATTGTTTTAATAATATCTGGGACTTATGTTGACTTAGGCAGTTTAACAATATTGTCACAGATATTATCTTCCCAAAATATTCATTGTAATTCAATTTCTCATTCACCATTATCGCTAATAAAGTAAATTTCTAACGGGCCAATGATTGAAACTTTAGGTTCGTCTAAATTAAAAATATTAGAGGCAATAAATTTTTGACTTTACGTTAGTGGTGAATAAGTTTTCTAAACTGAAGAATGAAGTCTGTTTCAAACGAAATAACACCAATAAAAAAGTATTAAAA